TTAAATTGCACCGGTTTTAATAGTTAGGGGAGTTGTTCTACCCGGTTTTATGGTTAAGTGGACTTTTTCCTTAATTTTCGCTGATCCGAACTAAAATTTTTCGCGAACAATTTTCGCTAATCCGTGCGCGCTATGCTCGATTCGCTGTTCCTGCTCACGCATCCTACCTCGAGGGGTCCAGCCACATTTCTGTGGCCCATAGAGCTAATGGCCCGGCAAAGTCCCACCAAAGAGAGCGGCAGGCCAGTCTTGTTTGACTAAATGGACCGGAGGTATAGGATTATACCTCTTTGGGCTGGCCACTTTATCTCTGAAAATTTTATATGAAAAAATTGCTCCAATTTTGTGATCCACATTCCACAGGATGAGCCATGTCATCAAATAAATATCAACCGTTGGGTGCACGATTTGAATGAAGTGAACCATTAGATAAAAGAGAGAAAAATAAGTTAGAAAAAGTAAATAGTGTCATGGGATGTTCTAAACCCTTCAAGCACTTCCCATAAAATGTGTGGTAACAAATATATGAGAATAAAAAAAATATCTTCAAAATTATCCTTATAAAATAATCATCAATGAGTATTCAATATTAATTCTATTGTATCAACAATAACAAGTACCCGTGAAAATATGAATAGTTATATAACCTAATACTATCGATTACTTCACTACAGTTTAAAATTTAAAGAAACATGTGACATGGACGGCATAATAAATTTTGTAAAGTTTATTTAAATCTTATGACTATAAGATTTACGATAAAAAAACGTATAGATACTTCTCATCTGGTGATGACAAATCGCAACGCGTAAGAAATATGGCTATTTGCATTATTACTACAATTGATGCATTTAGATATTGTAGGAGGTAATGGTCAATAAATTATTTGTTGTTACAATGATATTCTTAATGACAAATCAAAATATATAAATCCATTAATGTTATAGCTACACTTCTTAAAAAATGTGGTAAAAACATATGCATTATTAATTGTTATTCAATATTTTTGTCCATTAACATAAATAATATATAAATATATTTAATAGATGGAGAAGTCATAATGGTGTGAACACGCGTGACTTAAGATGCTAGTTATATCTGATAATTTTAAATGAAAAAACTGCTCCAATTTTGTGTGCTAACTGAATGTATTTTCACGTTTATATATATAATACCCGTATTAGAGAGAAAATAAGAGTTCTCTATATTACAATTAATTGGATTTTACCTCTTCTCTATCTTAAAAATGGGCTCACACTTAATGAAAAAAACTATCCCCCATCAATCTCCATTCTCTCCTTAAATCCCCGAGAACTGAAGCAATCAGTGCAAAGTAGTAGTCATATCAAATTCTCTGGAACTCTCAGCCACTGGATGGTCGAGATTATGGGTACTACATATCCACATGGCTGGGCTATCCGATTGGTTATAGGAATAGATCATGTATATAAAATATGTATAAAACTATAACTTGGGTATTACGTATACTTGTGTATCAAGAAACCGCTTGTAGTCCTAGTTTGTTATCTTTGAAAATTAGATATAGGAAACTTAAACCGTATACTAATAAGTTTCTATCTTGTAAGACTGCTCCTTCGCCTATATAATGAGGGCAGGACACCCATTATCTGGAGTATTCACAAACAGATCGTCAGATCAATACACAACTCGGTGGATTTAAATCCCCAAATAGGAGTAGGGTAGGACACACCCATTTGGGGTATTCACAACCAGATCATCAGATCAATACACAACTCGGCGGATTCGAATTCCCAAACAGGAGTAGGGTATTATCTCTCATTAAGAGCGTCTAAACCTATCTAAATACTTTTCTCTGCATCCATACACTTTTATGTCTGATGCACTTCCCTGTTTATTACTACCGAATTCCAGTTTCGACGTGGACATTTTAAATTGAAAGCAACATGTGGCCATCGTAACAAAATGTAGTAGCATTAGTACACAATCAATAATTACCACTTTCATTAGTACACAATCAATAATTACCACTTTCATTAGTTATTTTTTACTCTACGCCCTAAAAACTGTGTCGTTGATCATTCATGATATATATAATACTCCCTCCATTTTAAGAACATAATACATATTTGATTTCGTTAGCACAAATTTTTGTCTAACAATTGCTTTATTAACATATCATTTATATGATAAAAAAGAATAATCATAAGTAAATAATTTTGAATACGGATCTACTGAATTCAATTTTATGTAAAAAAATATATCTATTACTAATTGTTGGTCCTAACCAAATAAAATACACATTATATTTGAAAATGGAGGGAGTACTATCAAGATTTGTTTTTTGAACGTTAATTATATCAATGAATTTGTTGTTGAAAACATTTTCGTTAATATTACAATTTTCTTTCATTTCTCAATTTAAATAAATAAGAACTTGTGGCTAAAGTTGCATGATCTCAAATAAACTAAAATAAAAAGTTAAATCAAAACATCAGGTAATATAATTAAAAGAGAATAGCAGCAGCTAGTAGCACACCAACGGCTAGTTAATTTATACTACCTCCATATTTTAATGTATGACGCTGTTGACTTTTTGTCCAACGTTTAACCATTAGTCTTATTAAAAAAATTTATGTAATTATGATTTATTTTATTGTGACTTGATTCATCATCAAATGTTCTTTAAACATGACATAAATATTTTTATATTTGCACAAAAAATTTGAATAAAACGAATGGTCAAACGTTGGTCGAAAAGTCAACGGTGTGATATATTAAAATACGGAGGGAGTATAACTCATTGTGCAGCAGCTTATTTCTTTATCTAAGCTCATGGTTAGTTAGGAATTAACATCTTGACTGTCCATGGGGCCCTTCAGGAGAACCTTAGCAGCCAAGAAACACCACAAGGCTGATATTTCCCTCCCCTTTTCTCTCCCGACTGGCTGTGTTAGTCAAAGAACACAAATAGTGCCCAAACCCTATCAAACCCCCCTTCTTTTGGCTACTAGTTTGAACAAATTTTCTTGTTAAGCCAATTGGATGGCCATAGTTAGGTCCAGGCATGGGTGAAAAGCCATAACCTTTTCCCCCCAATAATGACGAGGACTTTAAGTTATCAGCTGGTCTATCTGATGCTAGATTGCTACTGACACTTTGGGTGATTAGTGGGGCCATGTAGGATGATGCATCCATGCAAAACATGTGATTGGAGAGAAAAGGATCTGTACATGTGTTGCCATATGATTGACAGTAGTTAATTTTGTGTAGATTAATCATCTCTTGTTGTGTACTTGTGTTCTTGAGTTGAAGTAGAGACTTAATGGACGAACTTTTGCATTTGTTTTTGATGAATTGGACAATTCTGTGTTGAAATATTGAACTGCTGTGAATTCCATGTGTGCCAAGCAGATTTGTTTTAGTTTGTTTGCGTAAAATTTAATAAACCATGGAAACCCTTTTCTTCAGGCTTTCGAAATCTGGCTAGGACAAAGGGTGCAAACTGTACAGGATAAAGAAAAATCTGAAAGGCTATCTTACATTACACTGTAGTTAACACAACTTAGTGCCCAATTTGTGGACAAGTTATGCTTAAAGATGACCGAGAATGCAACAGATGCAAAAGAATCCAAAACTGGTTTTCATGATGTTGATTCCAACTGGCCTGCATGAATAATCTAATGCTCCAAACCATGGGCTACGACCTGTCTGTACCCATGGAATTTCTGCATTTGGGAGCAGTGAAATTAACATCTCCTGGTCCTCCTTTGTTCGTGTAACTTTTGTCACAAGATCCTCCAATCCTGTGTTGTTTCTGTCCCCTTTTTAAGGAAGAGAAGGCTAAAGTTGCTGTTGCTCCCTAGCTAATGAAGAGTTTCTGAGAGGATTAAAGGCATGCTAACTTTTGCCAATTTGACACTTGTTATTCGTATACTTATCTGCTGTGTCATACACAGTTATGCACATTTCAGGTTTGTAAAAGCTGTTCGTTTTCACATCAGGCTTTGCAAATAGTTTTGCAACAATTTCACACCAAGATTAACTACTAAACTTGATATCTCGCAATGTTTCTTCTGATTTCGTTGGCATATAAAATCTAGTGGTTGACAGCTGAGTAGCTAAGAACACCTGAAACTTGTATGAACAAGTTTTGTAACGTCGGTTGGTGACTTTTTTTTTTTGGCATAACAGAACTCCTTCAGTAATTAAAATGTGATACTTGTAACATCTTATTGCTTCAGCTTGATCCCAAAATTGGTTAAGTCGGACTATTTGGCCAACCTGGTACAGTATTTGCATCAGTGGTTACCGGTTAGTGTGAAGACAGGTTGGGTCAGGGACTGCAATTTTGGTTCGAGATTTTCGTTTTTTTCTCAAAATTTTGTTAATTTTTTTTAGAACAGATCAACTTGCATTGATCCGGCTTTGTAAGAAAGCCGAAAGGATACAGGAACAGTCTTACACAAAACATAAAGCACATAAAAATTTTGTGAATTTGGTCAAAATTTAGTCAAATTCAGTTAAATTATGTTAAAATTTTAAGAAATTTCAGTCCAAAAGTGCTGAAAATCCCAAAATTTCGAGAATGAACGAAATTTCGGCCGAAATCGAAAGTGCAATCCCTGGGTTGGGTTGGTATATTCTGTTAGTATCGCACTAATTTCTTTATTGCTGTGCCAAGCATAATATTCCCTGTAGATATACTCCAAGCATTTTGGTTTGCTGCTCCAAGAAGCATCTGGATGCTCCTCTGCCATTCCCTGAGTCTGTACTGAATACTTATCAGCCACTAAACACCTGATACTAATCTGATCATTTTCTGAACTCTAACCCCTCAGTTTATTTTAGCACAGTACTTACTCCTACCAGTTGCATAATCATTCACTGATTCATAGTCAATCAGGTCCTACCAGTTGCTTAATCATTCACTGATTCATAGACAATCAGGTATAAAGACATGGACTGACAGAATTCAAAGTTAGTTCTATAAAAGAAAAACAGAATTCAGAGTTGCAAAATGAAGTTGAACACAGGGGTTAAATTAATCCAAGACTTAGCCACTAAGCTCCTTTACTGGGAAGCAAACAACCAACCAAACCATACATTCCCGTCACCTGAAACTGAGACACTTGATCTTCTCAGCTAAAAACAAAAAAGCCTCATCCACCTTTCACTTTTTTTTTCTGAATCCGATTTGTGTTCTTCAGCACATGCCAATGCCCAATGATCATTCATGCCATTGATGCCATTAGCAGCAAGCCAGCAAATACCCAAGAACACTCTCAACTAAGTAAATACTACTACTAATTACTCCTTAATTCACTGTCACTACACGCTGCTAATAAACACATTTATCACCGGTTGTTCTTGAATCTCGATCAGAGAATCAATCAGTGGACGATCGATGATGGTTGGTTTTTCAGGAGCAGTCGTCGAGCAGGGCGGCCGGCGCCATGCGGAAGGCGCGGTCCCAGGCGTAGCGGAACGTGACGGCGGCGGAGGGCTCGATGCGGCGGCCGTCGCCGACGAGGTAGTCGCCGGCGTCGCGGTCGAGGCGGAACAGCCGCGGGTCGACGGCGACGGAGCTCGCGAACCCCTCGGAGCGGAGGCGCACGCCGCGCGCCGCGCACGCGCACCGGTTGCGCACCGTCACCTCGAACACCGGGTCGTACCCCGCCTTCTCGCCGGTGTTCGCCTGCTCCACCTCCACGCTCGCCGCCGCGCACTTCCCCGCCGCCGGCGACGACCTCGCCGCCGCGCCTAATTCCACAGCCAGTCAGAAACAAAGATGGATGCATGGTGTCTTTGATCAGAGAACACCAAGAACCGGCAAGAAAGATGTATCCTACCTTGGATCAGGAGGAGGAGGGAGAGAAATGCAGAGACTAGGAGAAGCTTGATGGGCAGTGCCATGTTTCAGATGTTCTTGAAAGTTTTTTCTTCAGTTCTTGGAATTTGGAAGCTCTGTGAGATGGAAGAGGAGAAGCGATATGATCAACCTGTATTTATATGTATTTATAGGGGGAGGGGAAAAAAGGTGAAGGCAGGCAGGTGAGTGCACAAAATCAAATGGTGATATGCTTCTCAAGTCAAATTAGGCCCCTACAAGATTACAAGTCATGCTACTGTGTATACTACTAGTAGTGCAGCTGCTCCCTGTGATTTTTGGTCCACAGATTAGTACAAGATTAGCATGCTGAGGCCCGGTTTAGATGGCAAAAATTTTTATTTTAGGTATCATATCAGATATACGAACACACATTTAAAGTATTAAACGTTATCTAATAACAAAACAAATTACATATTCCACCAGAAAACTACGAGATAAATTTATTAAGCCTAATTAATCCATCATTACCAAATGTTTACTGTAGCAACGCATTGTCAAATCATGGCGCAATTAGACTTAAAAGATTCGTCTCGCAATGTACACGCAAACTGTGTAATTTTTTTCCTATATTTAATTCTTCGTGCACGTGTCCAAACATTCGATGTGATGGGTGAAAAGTTTTATTTTGGCTGTGTTTAGTTCAGCGTAAAGTTTGGATTTTGGTTGAAATTAGAGATGATGTGATTGAAAAGTTGTGTGTGTATGACAGGTTGATGTGATGGAAAAGGAATGAAGTTTGGATCCAAACTTTGAATCTAAACATAGCCTTTATAAACTAGACAGGGCATCACTGAAGTGAGGTGTAGACCAATAATTAATCCTGATAAAGTGTATCAACAAGTGCAGGGCAGGGAGGCTTTAACCAGGTTGATAATTCTACAGCTCTCCTACTTTGTGTGCCTCAGGTCTCTGTCACCTGCCTTCTTTTTTCTCTTCAGAGAAAAAAGAGGCTGGAAAAGATAAATAAGTGAGCAAGTAAGTAAGTAGATTGGTGCAACTTTGGATCTTGTGAAGGGATACGATCGAAGTTCTCAGCAAATTGTTTGATGTAAAGGCCTTTCTTGGCATTACTTTTAATCTACTTTCAGGTAGATGGATGGTACTTCAAGATTGTGAGCACTATCCATTTGAAAAATCCTTAATATTCAGTGAATAGCCTGTAGCAGCCATGGTTCACATGAACAACATAGTGTCATGCTTCAACATAACAAAACAGATATATAAATCACAAATGTGCATGCAGCACTTTAATTTGTAACTTGGCCTGTTTTTATTTCCCTCTTTTGTAAAGCAAATGTAGTATAACATTTAGTAATGTGGCCAATGCGTGTATCGATCATTGCGCTGTAAAAGAAGCAATCGGTTGCACATATTTACACAGAAACGTTGGTGCATGGAAGCTCAAGTCAATTAGTCAATTCAGTCTCACAATTAATCTCTCCAAATGCAACACTGTTCAGAAGAAGACTTGAGCACAAGTCTTGGGAGGAAATTTCCATGCAGTCATCTCTCCATGTGATGCTGCGAAAACAACTCAACATCACCATATGGTCCCCTTTCAAGAACCGTCCTCTCTCTCTCACGGCTCACAAGGACAAAATCTGCAGAACCAAATATACAACTGACATGATACAACGGTTGCATCTGTATATCTCCTGCATAAATGTCTGCTTGCACAGATCAGCTGCTGATGAAGGCCTTCCATCCAATGGGAAGTGATGAGCTTGTTAATAGGTTTTTCACATTGTTAATTACAAGCTAGTAGGTCAGTCAACTCACGCGCTTTCACATTGCGGTTGGTTGCTTGGAGCTTGGATGTATCCGCCGGCCAGTTTGGAGCAGAGTCTTCTCGAGTCTACCTGCTGGACAATGACCCGGCCATGGCCATTACTCCGAGCTTTTGACTTGTCTGTGCTTTGATCCATGACGAGGCTGCATGCTATCTTATCTCTGGGATTAAAGAGAAACATTTTATATCTATTTTTTAATAAACTAATAATTAAAAATAGTTTTTTTTACACCGTAAATTACACATATTTATACACCATAAAATTTTAAAACTTATCCAGTAGTTACACCGTAAATTTCAATAATTACATTATAATTTCTCTAATATACACACTGTATAAGAGAATAAGAGAATTAGGATTAAAAGTAATTGATTATCCATTTGGAAGAGAAATACTTACATATGAGAGAAAGCAATCTCGTAAGCAAAACATAACTGAAATCAAGTTAGATATGTGGCATCATAATTTTAGCAAAATTAATATCCTGTTGTGTTGGAGTATAAGTAAATTGTCTGTTTTTTCCTGCTAGTTTTTAAGCGATCTGGTTGGTACATATAACTTGGCATTTGCATTTTTCTTTTTAGAATTGAACATTTAGGAGTTAGGATGATGCAAATAGATGAGAAGGGTTGAGGCATGCACCTGAGTAACAGGGATAAAGAGAAATTCAAGGGCTTCATAACTCATAGCTCAAAAGTTTGACTAAATATTGTTGGGCCGGGCCAAGCCCAATAACTGAGAAAAGCCCACATATATTACACTAGGAATAAGTTCAAGTTAGGTTCCTTAACTTAACAGATGGTTCGATTTTTATCCTTGAACCGAAATACTAGATACAACGGGTCTATCAACTATCAAAACCGATGTAATGCAGGTCCCGTAGAAGTATAGCGGATGGTTTTGTCCGATGAGGGATGGGGCCCACGTTGACTCAGCGCTGTTAACTCGGGTTAAATTGTCACGTCGGACGAAACCACCTGTTGTACTATCATCAGACCTACATTGCACCGGTATTGGTAGATGAGAGACCCGTTGCATCTGGTATTTCAGTTCAAGAACAAAAATCGAAATTGCTGTCAAGCTAAGGGACCTAAATTGAACTTATTCCTTAACAGTATACACAGAGCTGGGGAGCCCAATGACAAAATATATGGTTTTGAATTTTGTAATCCAAGCCCAACCAGTGTTAGCTTACCTAAATGTTGGGCTCATATCGGTTATCTGTTTGGTATAAAAATGATACGAGAACTAATTGTGCTCATACACTATTTTCTGTTTATCTCATTCCTCTGGTCGGTGGTACCTTCGTAGCAACGTTTACTCACTCAACGATGAAATGCAATTCTTCGATGCAATAAAATTTTGAATCAACGTTTTGATCTTTGGTTATCCTTCATAGTGAAATATCTTGAAGTTTGCAACGAAAACTTGTATATCAACTAGACGATCGTGAAAAAAAATGTCGATCTATAGTTTACTAGTTGCCTGCTCCTGAAATGGTCGAAGCCACACCCATCAAAAAGGGATGATATCCAAATGCATTTCAGCTAGTTGTAGTCAAACCACACCCATCGACCTTTTTCTTTTCCAGCACCATGTACATAGAATGCGATGGCATGCACAAGCGAAGAAATGATTAAGAGAACTGCATTTGCGGGGGAGTTAGGGGGTTTCTATCGTAATGCATGCCACTACTTAACCAGGGATTCATGTAAATACTAGTTTAGCTTATTATTGCCGTGACCACTGCCTACCTTTTCACATTCATTGAGTAATGCATGCAATTATTGATCGATAGAGATGTCATGGTATGGCTTTCCATGTATACTATATATCTACGAAGCTCATCCTCACTAAGTACATTTAATGCTAATTCTCTTCTCTCTCATAAAGTTACATCACCTCAATTGTTTTTAGTCTTTAGATGATTCATCAAGGGTATAAATTGCATCTCTTCCCCCAAAAGACACACTATACAACCCAATCATTTATAACCTATGAATAATTGATAAAAGTAATATATATATATATATATATATATATATATATATATATATATATATATATATATATATATATATATAAACACATGGAAAAAATCGTACAATAGGTAAGAAAGAAAATTTTACAACTCATATATATTATATTATCACACAATTCTCCCACAGCAACGCGCGGGGTACACATCTAGTTAGCTAAATAATTGCGTACGTTTGGGGAATATTGTGTCCACGCTGGTACGGTAGTAAGTTAGAAGGGAAACACAAATAGCTTTAGATTCTTTTATTTATTGCGCGGTGATTTTATTAAAAAAGATCATGCTCATGGTATCTTTCTCTAGTTAGCATGAAAATGGTACATAAATTTTTCGACGTATACCATTTTCGTAAATAATAATAGAAATGATCTTATTATCAATTGTTTCGGATTGTAAAATTCAGTTTTTTCTGATTTTGTCTATGTCATATTGAAGTTTTCACTAAATAGTTAAATTTAAACTTTCAATCATACCAGTATCATTTTTTTAAAATATAATAAAATATAATATCGTTTTAGATCGTTTTCATCCTTACCTCTACTAGCTTGGACGTTATCACCACCTGGATAAGAAACGGTTACGGAGTAAAAAGGATATCGCCTTTTTATAGCCAAGAACTAACAAGTACGTTCCAAACTAAACTCCATTGATCACGAGAACACATATATATATAGCTGAAATTGAAAGCGTTTTATCCCAGGATTATCTCTGCTATATAAATCGCGAATAGATTATAAAATCAAAGGTGTTTTTGATTATTATTTTGTGATGAACAATTGGCATTTGAGATTATTGGTTTTGATATTTGGAATTTATTCACGAAGTGGTTTTGGAGATGATTGGATTTACAGGTGAATCGCAGGTTCTGTGTTATTTCATGTGACCGGTCAGACCGGGCTCTGGTAGCCGGTCAGACCGGCGTGTATCGCGCGGTCAGACTAGCCCAGCCCGCGGTCTGACTGGCCGACTCTGTGTGGGTTTCGGTTTCGGGTTGTTTGTTTGGATATCCGTGATTATTTCATGATTATGGCTTCTAGATGGATACTATACGTATGTAATACTGTTATTTGCTACTAATGAGTCAAGTTGGAGATAGCTTGGTCTCGGAATATGGTTTCTTTGTTTATTTCATGTGTAGGTGACTCGATGCCTCGGGAGAGTATTTGCGGTGATGGACCGGGAGTCAGCTTGGGGATAAGACGACGTCCGTGGTGGTCAGAGATCATGCGGGATACTTAGGTTAGAGTTGATGCACGTGGTTGATGGAGATTCCATATATGGCATACGATGGAGGTATTGTGTGCGTATGAGATGCGGAGTCGA